TGACTTGAGTGGTAATCACTTGCTTGCTTTTCTTCTACAATTTTGCCACCTGTGTAGGCATCTCTAACGACTACATTTTTTTTTTTAATCAAATAGCCCAGATTGTATAAAGATCATACTTTTGTTTGGCTTATTTTAAAACTTCATATAAAGGACAAATAAATGCAAATAAATAAATAAATTTATTGCTACACTTCCGCTCTACTAATTTGGAAGTTATCCTTTCTTTTAAAAAATTCATTTGCTTGACTCTTGTCATGGAAATTTTCCAGCATGTACAAAGTACAGAGATTGGCAAAATGAAATCCAATGTAGGCATCATCGGTTTCAGTAATCATTAATACATGGTCAGTCTTGTTTTATTCATCTTTGCCTACCAACTCACTCCCTGATTATTTTGATGAGATATTTCTGTTCTTTTCCTGTTATAATAGAAATTACAACATGTATTTTCAGCTTTTTAATACTTTTTTAAAATAGCTTACTCTTCTTGGATATTACAGAATTTTGAAAACCGGAACTCCACTTAACTGCCTCTAACTTAAATGTTATTGTTACGATATATTGTAATTCTATCTTGTTTTTTAAATAGTCAAAATTTGTTCAGATTTACTTATATATTTACCACTTTATCCTTATTTGTTCTTCACCTCATATCTTCTTGGGATTATTTTGCATCTGACTAGACCATGTTCTTACAACTTCCTTTTCTGAGGATCTGCTGATGGCTGTATTACTGTTTTTGTTCACAGATAGCTATGCGATTTGTTTTGCCATGTAACTTAGAAAGTATCTGCAAAGTTCAGTGGCATTGCTGTAAAAATTCTTTTATTTCTTCCATTTATCCATTATTTCTACAAACATGGTTTTATAGTTCTTATAGCAATAGAAATGAAAGAAAAAATTGTTTGTAAAATCTATATCAATAAATAGCATTCACCATGTGTGAGCAAATTTTTTTTTTTTTTGAGTTGGAGTCTCACTCTGTTGCCCAGGCTGGAGTATAGTGGCACACTCACCGCCACCCCAGTGTCTACCTGCTGGGCTCTGGCGATCCTTCTGCCTCAGCCTTCCAAGTAGCTTGAACTACAGGCTTGTGCTACTACGCCCAGCTAATTTTTTTATTTATTGTCTGAAACCCGTGGGTTTAGGCAATCCAAAGTGCTGGGATTACAGGCTGAGCCACTGAGCCCAACTGAGCAAATTGTAAGTGCCTCATATAGCACTTTTTTTTTTTTTTCTGGAGTCAAGTGTCTCACTGTGTTGCCCAGGCCGGAGTGCAGTGGCACACTCATGGCTGACCACAGCCTCAACCTGCTGGACTCTGGTGATCCTTCTGCCTCAGCTTCCAAAGTAGCTGGGACTACAGGTGTGTGCCATTATGCCCAACTAATTTATTGATTTGTTTTTGTAGAGACGAGGTCTCACCAAGTTGCCCAGGTTGGTCTTGAACCCTGGGCTCAGGCAATTCTCCCGCCTCTTCCTCCCAAAGTGTTGGGATTACAGGTGTGAGCCACTGTGCCTCGTGTTTTTTTTACATTTAATACCTATCAAAATTTGAAAAAAGATTAATTTGGATCAACCACAATTACTGTACTGTTGGAAATGTTTAATGTGTAAGGCCTTCTTGTCACAAGACAAATCAGTTTTCATTTATATAATTTTTTGTCGCAGAAAAGTATGATAATGTATCCATAATATGGAAACATATTCCACTAGATACATTCTGTAGTGTGGACTCCTGACATGATTGGATTGTTCCTCTTTTCCCTTGGCAGGCCTTTCCCCTGGACTGGGGAGACTCCTACCGAGTGAGGACAGCTTTCTGATGGTGCGTGAGCAGGTGGGCTGGCCTGTAGCCTGGGAAGCCAGCCTCTAGTCGTTGAGCGCATCGTTCCTGAGTTTCCCGTCTACATTTCATCTTTGTGTTTCAGAGGTCTGGATTTGCCCAGATTCTGTCTTGCTTCTCTCAGCTCTGCCGCTACTGGGTGGAACTCGCCTTCCTCAGGGCACAGCTTTTGCATTCTAGTCTCTGGTCAGGCACCCCCTCTACCCACAGCTCAGTATAAGTCAGGGCATCACTGGCCTTTTCTGGTTTTTTGCTTATGGTTGTGTACATGATCATTTTAATTCACCAGTATTATTCAGAATTGCCACCGGAATGCTATATATTCTTTATAATTTGTTCCTTAACCCAGGGTTTTTCTGTCAGCTCCAGTCTTCACAGTATTTTTTTAAACAACCTTATTGAATTATAATTCATACGCCATAACATTCCCCCATGTAAAGTATACAGTTCAGTGGTTTCATAGAGTTGTGCCACCATCACCATGGTCTAATTTTAGAATGTTTTCATCATTCAACAAGAAACCATTTACCCGTTCACAGCTCTCACACTCACACTCACACCTAGCCACAGGCAGCCACTAAACTACTTTCTTTCTCTGTAGTTTTACCTATTTTAAGAGGCTTCATGTAAAGGAAATCCTATAATATGTGACCTTTTGTGACTGGTTTCTTCCAGTGAGCATCATGTTTTCAAAGACTTTATTCATGTTGTAGCATGTATCGATATCTAATTCCTTTTATTCCCTTAATGGTGTGGATATAATATCACATTTTGTGTATCTATCTATCCATCCATTGATGGACTTTGGATTTTCCCCCCGCTTTTTGGCTATTCTGAATAAATCTACTGTGGATACTCATGTTCTCCAGGATACACATCCAGAAGGAGAATTTTTAAAATCATGTATCTCCGTGATTTAATAGGAATAACTAAGCTACTTCAGTGTGGCTGTGCCATTTTAGATTCCCACCAGTAGTGTATAAGGTTCCATTGACTCCACATTCTCCCTAACACTGGGTATTTGTATTTCTAATTATAGCCATCCTAGGAGGCATGAAGCTGTATCTCATTTTGATTTGTGTTTCTCTAATGACCTGTAATGTGATGTGGCCTTTCATGTGCTTGCTGGTAATTTTTCATCTATCATCTTTGAACAAATAGTGATTCAGATCCTTTGCCCATTTTTAAGCTTGGGTTATTTGTCTTTTTATTACTGAAGTATTATACTGAGATATTTCTATAGTTTTATAGTAAGTTTTGAAATTGGGAAATTTGAGTCTTCCAACTCTGTTTTTTTTTTTTTTCAAGATCATTTTAGCTATTCTGGGTCTCTTGCATTTCCATATGAATCTTAATGCCAATTTGTCAACTTGTTAAGAAAAAAATGCAGTTAGAATTATTGTAGGGATTAGAAGAATTTAAGGACTATTGCCATCTTAACAGTGTTGAGTCTCCTTATCCATGAACATAGGATGTTTTTCCTTATGTAGACATTCTATAATTTCTTTAAACAATGTTTTATAGTTTTCATGGTGTGAGTTTTGCACTTCTTTTGTTGCATTTACTCCTCGTGTTTTATTGTTTTTTATTCTATTGTATATGGATTTGTGTTCCTAATTTTACTTTGGGGTGGTTTATTGCAAGTGCATAGAACTACATTTGATTTTTATATATTGATCTATTTTTTTTCTTCTTTATGTATTGATCTTGTTGTACCCTGAAGTCTTGCTGAACTCATTTATTAGTTCTAAGAGTTTTTTTTTTTGTTTGAGTTGGAGTCTCACTCTGTCGCCCAGACTGGAGTGCAGTGGCCGCTTCCGGCCACCGCAGCCTCGCCTGCTGGGCTCCTGCGATCCTTCCACCTCAGCCTTCCGAGTAGCCGGAATTACAGGCATGCGCTACCACGCCCAGCTGATTTTTTTATTTATTGTAGAGATGAGGTCTCGCTGCCCAGGCGGGTCTCGAACCCGCGGGCTCAGGCAATCCACTCACCTCAGCCTCCCAAAGGCGCGGGATTACAGGCTGAGCCACCGAGCCCGGCAGTTCTAAGAGTTTTTAAGTGGATTTCTGAGAATTTTTCTTACACTGCCAATAATGATGTGTTACTTCTTCAGACATTCTTCTTAGGGGGAAAGCATCCATTTATCACCATTAAGTATGATGTTACTTATGGGTTTTTTTCTAGATGCCCTCTGTTGGGTTGAGGAAATTACCTCTGTTTTTAGGTTGTTGAATGTTTTATCATGAAAGGTTATTAACTTTTGCTAAATGCTTTTTGTGTACCTATTAAGATGATTTTGTGCACCTATTGTACTTTTTTCTATTAATATCATGTATTGCATGGTTTTCAGATGTTACACTAACCGTGCATTCCAAGGATAAATCCCACTTACTTAGTCATATTGTATAATTATTTTTATATGTTGATAGGTTTGCCAGCATTTTGTTAACAATTTTTGTGTTTATATTAAAAAGGATATTGGTCTGTAGTTTCTCATGATGTTTTTGTCTGGTTTTTTTTTGGTATTGGAATAATACTGCCCTGCTAGAGTGGGAAGTGTTTCCTCCTGTTTTTTGGAGTTTATAAAGGATTAGTGTTAGCTCTTTAATTGTTGATAGAATTCACCAATGAAACCATTTGGGCCTGTACTTTTCTTTGTGGGATGCTTTTAAATTACTTTTATTCTCTTTACTTGATATAGGTCTTTTCAGATTTTTCCATTTCTTTCTTTAATTTGTTGGCATACAATGTTTCATAGTACTGCTTTATAATCCTTTCATCTTGATAGCTTCTAGTGCTATTTCAAAGTATTTGGGGTGTTTTCCTTTCCCATATCCAATTGTTTTTTCATCTCCCAGGAACTGTCATAGCTTTGGTTGACTGACCTTTCTTCTTCGATCACATCTGTGGTGAAATTGGGGGAGGGTGGGTAAATAGGTGGAGTTCTGCAGTCTCCTCGTCATTCCGACTCAATGGTCTCTTATTTAATTCTTGGAAATTAACAACCATTCTTTAATTTCTTCGTGTGGTTTTGTTTCAACCAATTTTATTGCAGAAATAATCAAGTCTTTAGCTGTTCATATTTCACACAAAACAAGGAACTTCCAAAAATGTGTAATACTGATTTGCATTCACTTGGTTTAGTTTCAGAAACCCTCCAGGTGGCAACTTCTAGTCCAGCTGCCAGTGGCGCTGGTCCTGTTGCTACTTCCTCCGCCACTGTGGGTGCAGCTAAGCATGAGCCCGTTCACCCCGCTTCATCGGCAGCTGGTGTCCTGGAACACGCACACTCTACAGAACCCCCACGGCCCGTCGAACTTGATGGTCTTTCTTCAGACCAGTTTGCAAAAGGACAGGACACTGTTGCCATAGAAGGTTTTACAGATGAGGAGAACACAGAAAGCGGAGGAGAAGGCCAATACCGAGAACGTGATGAATTTGTGGTAAAGATAGAAGACATAGAGACATTTAAGGTGATGTGAATGTCCACCGTGTGTAGGTTGTACTGTGGTCGGTATAGCCGTGCTCGCCTTTGTGATGACTTCAGTAGTGGGCATCTACCGCGAATTACAAGTTACTGTCTTGTAGTTATCCTCAGTGATCATATTTGATAGTGTTAAACTGGTAGATGTCAGATGATTTGGAAAAGAAAATTAAGAAAATAATTTTAACTTTACTTTCATTTTATGTGTTTCTGACGAGTCAGTTTTATTCCAGTCCTAGTAATTACAGCCATTTTAAATGTTGGGGTTTTTTTGTTGTTGTTCGCTTTGGTTTGATTTTTTAATTTTTTCAATAATCCCAACTCATCATATTATGGTACTTTGGAGAAAATTGTTATTTATATAATTTTAAAGTTTGAATAACAGTAATTGGGTTATCATGTAAAAGTAGAATTGACTTTAATTTCTTAATTTCAAATTATGGAACCATAAGTAGAATATTATAATTTCATGCAAGAATATTTTAGCTGTGTTTAAGATAACATTTTCAGGTTTCTGACTGCTTGCTTTTGTTTTTGCCGTTTTTAAAAAGATTGGAATGGACAAGAATGACATTCATTAAAAAGTACAATAAAGAACATAATATTCAATCCACCTATATTCCTACCATTCACAAATTAACTACTGTTAATGTTTTAGAATATTTGTTTATGGTGTTTTAAGTATATACATACAGTTATAAAATTGCATGAATAACACAGGACTATGTTATTAGCAAACTTTCTAACAGTGTTAGCTACGCAAAGGGTGATAGGCCTCTTTGTGTGTTAGTGACTCCACATTTCTGGAAGAGTTTAGAGACTGAATAATCTAACTAGCTTATAAGAATGATTGCAGGAGTTCAGCTAGAGGTACGAGATGAAAGATTGAGCTAGGTAGGTCTCCAAGATTTCTTTCAGCTCTTAACATTTTATAGGTGTAAAATATGTCGATACTTTTTACAAGTGTACTTAATTCTGCTTATTCCAGGAGGCTTTAAAAACAGGAAAAGAACCCCCAGCTATTTGGAAAGTACAAAAAGCTTTATTACAGAAATTTGTTCCTGAGATTCGCGATGGACAAAGAGAATTTGCTGCTACAAATAGTGTAAGTAAAATGTATACTTACATTAGCCTGCCTATATTTTGACAGGGATCCTCAGGAAAATATAGAATGATTTAATATGTGTATTTTATATGGAATTTTTTTTTTTTGAGTTGGAGTCTCAATCTGTTGTCCAGGCCAGAGTGCAGTGGCATGTTCACGGCCACTGCAGCCTCTACCTGCTGGACTTAGGGATCCTTACATCTCAGCCTTCCAAGTAGCTGGCACTACAGGTGTGTGCTACTACACCCAGCTTATTTTTTTTTTTTTTTTGAGTTGGAGTCTCACTCTGTCGCCCAGACTGGAGTGCAGTGGCCGCTCCCGGCCACCGCAGCCTCGACCTGCTGAGTTCCAGCGATCCTTCCACCTCAGTCTTCCAAGTAGCCGGAATTACAGGTGTGTGCTACCATGCCTGGCTGATTTTTTTGATTTATTGTAGAGATGAGGTCTCGCTGCCCAGGCGGGTCTCGAACCCGCAGGCTCAGGCAATCCACTCACCTCAGCCTCCCAAAGGCACAGGATAACAGGCTGAGCCGCTGTGCCCGGCTTATTTTTATTTATTGTAGAGATGAGGTCTCACCAAGTTGCCCAGGCTGGTTTCAAACACCCAGGCTCAGGCAGTCTTCTAGCCTTAGCCATCCAAAGTGCTGGGATTACAGGCTAAGCTACTGCATCTGGCCTGGAATATTTTAAATATAAAATAGTATAACATGAAATGCAGAGTATGTGATATATCAATCAAAGGAACTGATTTAAATATAAATTAATGGTTAAATACCATCTATTTAAAGCTAAATTTCTCTATACTATTCCTTGACTATTTTTTGATAAAGGAAAGGAATTAGTGCTAATCTGTGAAGAGTTCAGATATACTTGAAGGCTCTTTTTTTCTTTTCTTTTCTTTTTTTTTTTTTTTGAGTTAGAGTCTCGCTCTGTCGCCCAGACTGGAGTGCAGTGGCCACTCCCGGCCACCGCAGCCTCGACCTGCTGGGCTCCGGCGATCCTTCCACCTAAGCCTTCCGAGTAGCCGGAATTACAGGCACGCGCTACCACGCCTGGCTGATTTTTTTTATTTATTGTAGAGATGAGGTCTCGCCAAGTTACCCAGGCGGGTCTCGAACCCGCGGGCTCAGGCAACCCAATCACCTCAGCCTCCCAGAGACGCGGGATTACAGGCTGAGCCACCGAGCCGGGCTCTACCTTTCTTAAAAAGAAAAAAAGAATCTGGGCTCAGTGGCTCAGCCTGTAATCCCGCGTCATAAAGAAAGGTAGATTTATTAAAGGAAAGATACGTTGTGAAGGGCACAGTGAGCAGGACAACAGTGAGAATGTCTGCATCCTAAAAGGGCTCTTATTTCGACTATTCTACCAGGTAAATATCCTAATTTCCCAGAAGACTTCACAGCAGTTATTCTTTTGTACTTGGGTAGCTGTTCAATAACTCTGAGTGAGTGAGCACCTGCCAGGTGAGATTGCTTCTGTACATGGGCATGTGGTCAAGAATGAGCCCAGGATCACTTTTATCAAAGGGAAAGTTAGCCTGGCCAGACCGCATTTTGGAAAACTTGAAGAGTGGCTGTGTGATAATCAAATCACAAAGTAGTATTTGTATGTGGATTGTACATGTTTGTAATTTAAAGTGTTTTCCTCCTTAGTACCTTGGATATTTTGGAGATGCAAAGAGTAAATACAAAAGGATATATGTGAAGTTTATTGAAAATGCAAACAAAAAGGAATATGTCAGAGCATGTTCCAGAAAGCCAAGAAATAGGCCTTCACAAACTATCAGGTATGAGTTTCTTATGTCATATATTTGTATATATAATAGGCTTATTATTGGCAATGTCATTGTGCAAGGGCATATACATTAGTAAGAGAGACGGTGTTTTTTGATCATATGCAAGTCTGAAAATTCAGTGCCTGATGGACTAAGTGGTTCCTTTGCAGGAACAAGATGGGCCTGTAAAGGCCATGGCTGTCTGTGGCGGGACAGGTGCCCTTTTCTTCCCCAGAGTCCTTTTTGTGTCCCCCTAGTATGGTGAAAAAATTAACTCTTTGTGACCTGAAGAAGACAGCTTTTTATTTTTATTTTTTTAATTTTTTTTGAGTTGGAGTCTCACTCGGTCGCCCAGACTGGAGTGCAGTGGCCGCTTCTGGCCACCGCAGCCTCGACCTGCTGGGCTCCGGCGATCCTTCCTCCTCAGCCTTCCAAGTAGCCGGAATTACAGGCATGCGCTATCACGCCCAGCTGGATTTTGATTTATTGTACGGATGAGGTCTTGCTGCCCAGGTGGGTCTCTTACCCGCGGGCTCAGGCAGTCCACTCACCGCAGTCTCCCAAAGGCACGGGATTACAGGTTGAGCCTCTGAGCCCGGCTGAAGACAACTTTTTTCATCCATAAAATGATAACAGTGACGGCGTGTCAAATTGAGAATGAGATAATTTTTGAGAAAAAAACTACATTACTAAACAAGTATCCAGTAGAATTATCATTGTATGTTAATGGGACTCTGGGTGATCTGTTGCAGGAATCTGGGAGTTAAGTGACTTGACTCTGTGGTCTGTAGGGGGAAGCATCCATGACCCTAGATGGGCCTAGCTTAATTATTAGTCCCACCTCTCAGAAGCAGCTTGCCTTGCTTTTATGATGGAATTTTATCCACTCAAATCTCCATACCCACCATGGAGCAGGCCTTGAGCACCTCGGGGCAAACGCATGTGGCACCACCAGGACCTGTCAGGCTTTCTGAGGGTTGGAGCTTGATGTGGCCTTCAAGGGCTCATCACGTGTCACTTTCCCATGCCCATGCTCTCTGGAGAGTGAGTCTATACCAGGAGCATGAGGAACAAAGAGAGAAATAGGAGTTGAATGAATACTCCCTAAGTAGCTGAATATTGCTTGCCAGTGGCTGGAAAATGTGCTTTAAGAAAATGTTGTGGTGTTGTGGGAATCCCCACTGAGATGTGCAGGACTTGGACTTCATTTTGGCAGTGTTGGTGAAGGTAATCAGATCATCTTTTCTTCTCTTTGAGTCTTATTTTGTTTTTCTATTTTGTTTGAGTTTGACAAGATTTCAGTGTTAATAAGTTTACTTGTGATATTGCAGAACTGTTCAAGCCAAGCCGAGTAGTCACAGTAAAACTTCTGATCCTCCAACATCAAAAACTACAGCTACAAAAGCCCCTTCCATGAAACCCAAAGTTAAACAGTTGAAGGTCAAGGCTGAGCCCCCACCAAAGAAACGGAAGAAGTGGAAAGAAGAGTTTTCCTCATCCCAGTCGGACTCGTCTCCTGAGATCCATTCTAGCAGCAGTGATGGCGAGGGTGAGTGTTCCGTGGGGCGGCCCCTCGGTGACCTTGGCTCATCCGCGTGAGTTGCGGGAGCAGTGATGCTGACAGTTCAGCATATCTTTGTGTTTTTCAGAGGTTTACCTACCTGCTTCTGCTCAGGCTTTTAGGAGAGCAAGTTCACTTTCCCTGCTGCACACAATTGGCCCACATGTGCGGCCTTGTAAAACAGGAAAAGCGGAACTCACTTTATTTTATTTTATTTTATTTATTATTATTATTTTTTATTTTTTTGAGTTGGAGTCTCACTCTGTCGCCCAGGCTGGAGTGCATAGTGGCCGCTCCTGGCCACTGCAGCCTCAGCCTGCTGGGCTCTGGCGATCCTTCTGCCTCAGCCTTCCAAGTAGCTGGAACTACATGTGCGCACTACCATGCCTGGCTAATTTTTGATTTATTGTAGAGATGAGGTCTCACCAAGTTGCCCAGGCGGGTCTCGAACCCTCAGGCTCATGTAATCCACTCACCTCAGCCTCCCAAAGTGCTGGGATTACAGGCTGAGCCACCGAGCCCAGCCAGAACTCACTTTAGAGCACCAGTGATCTCACCTCTTTGGATAGGATGGAAGTTAGGACGCGGAATACTAGGAATCTTCTACTTCCAAACTTCTGCATCTGTGTTCATGCTACAAGAAAAGAGTATCTAGGCCTGGGAAGCAGGAACTCAAACTGTGATCAATACAGTGATGTGTATGATAGCGTGGGTTACTCGTTGAGAGAGAGGTGTATGAAACGCATGATACTACATGTCTGCCACTAGCCACACGTGAACCATGCTGAGGAAGGTGTCTTTGTGCCCCAGTCTTCTTTTTCATAAAATGTAAAGGGTGAAGTAGATCAGTTCTCAAACTTCTTGACCTTGGAACCCTTTTATGTTCTTAAAAACTACTGAAGATCCTGAGCAGCATTAACGTAGGTGATATTTACTGATAATTACTGTATTCGAAATGAAAACTGAGATGACACCAACACACATTCCATTAGTCATCAACTTGTGGGTTTTTTTTTTTTTTTTTTTTTGGAGTTGGAGTCTCACTCTGTCACCCAGGCTGGGGTGTAGGGGCACGCTCACGGCCACCGCAGCCTCTACCTGCTGGGCTCAGGCTATCCTTCCACCTCAGCCTTCCAAGTAGCTGGAACTACAGGCACACACCACCAGGACCGGTTAGTTTTTTTGTGATTTATTTTAGAGACAAGGTCTCACCAAATTGCCCAGGCTGGTCTTGAACCTCTGGGCTCAGGCAGTCCTCTTGCCTTGGCCGCCCAAAGTTCTGGGATTACAGGCTGAGCCTACTGTATTTTAAATGCGAGAAATTTCGAGCAGTTCAGTAACCTCGGTAGAAGCTTCTGAACTACAGCCTGTAGACCAAATCTGACCCTCAACCTGCTTTTGTAAATAAGGTTTTGTGGGAACGCAGCCCCACAGATTCATCTGCATATTTCCATAGTTGCCTTCACACGTGACAGTTTGTGTAGTTGCTACAGATCTCAACCGATCAACCACACCTGGAAGGTTGACCACGTATCTTTTGCAGAGGAGGCTTGCTGGTCCTTGTTCTCCTAGAGCATAAAGCTCAAGGTAGAAAAGGTGGAAGGCATGATGGGAGGCCTTGTATGCCATGCAGAAGCTAAAAAACTTGCGGTCCATAAGTAGAGTTACTGCTTAAAACAAATAGGGGAGCAACAGAGCCCAAGGCAAGACCTAGTGAGGTATCCGTTGAGTTGGAACCTGAGAAGCAGTGGCAGGATTGGAAGCGTGGGGAGGGGGTGTTGAGAAATTCAGGATGTTGTCTTGGCTGACCTGGAATAATGGACTCATTGTTGGGCATGCAGTTGTGGTTGGTGCCCAGGATGGTTTCTGACATTACAAGTATCATTGACCGCTGGGCTTGGTAGCTCAGTCTGTAATCCCAGCACTTTTGGAGGCCAAGTGAGTGGATTGCCTGAGCCCACGGGTTCGAAACCTGCCTGGGCAACTTGGCGAGACCTCATCTCTACAATAACCCCCCCCCAAAGAAGGATCGCCAGAGCCCAGCAGGTCGAAGCTGCAGTGGCTGGGAGAGGCCACTGCACTCCAGTCTGGGTGACGGAGTGAGACTCCAACTCAAAAATATAAAAAATAAAAAAGAAGTATCATTGTCCTAGGAGTTTGACTAGAAATTGGATCATAATAAAAGTTCTTTAGTGCTGAACTTTAAATACACTGTATTTAAAACTATGAACTGGGTGGGATGATATGCGCCTATATTTTTAGTTTCTCAAGAGACTGAGGCAGGAGTATTACTTGAGCCCAGAAGGTCAAGACCAGCCTGGGCAATATAGCAAGACCTTTGTCTCTAAAAACTAATAAAAGAGTAAAGCTATTTGTGAATGGTTGCATTCATCAGAATTTATAAGAAAATTCAGTGTTTTGAGTATGTATTTAAAGCACTCTACATAATTTTGCAGATAGTAGTCCTGCTTACTGCCTAGAATAAAGAGGTTTGTGTTCTGAATTTATTTGCCTTCGAATCTTAGTTTCCTAAAGTGACAAGATAAATTTTTCTTCCATTGGTAACTTGAGTGGCCACTAGGTGTCACTAATAGGTAGCAAATATTTTTCGTGCCTTTTTGTAGTCTTATAGTCCCTGGCTAAAGTATGAATTTAGTGCTTTTAAAAAGTCAAATGTTGATAATAAACACAGATATATAGGCTGGCAATCTTCAAACTCTGTTTTAAAAGCTGACCTTCAAATATGGTGAGGATTCCAAATACTCTTGTTTATGAATCTAATGATAATCACTAAGTGCCAATTAAAACAAAATTTAAAAATATATAGCATGATTCCTCCCCCTTTTTTTTGAGTCAGGGTCTCACTCTGTTCCCCAGCTAGAGTGCAGGGGCACAGCCACAGCTCACCGCAGCCTCAAACCCCCCCAGACTCAAGTGATCCTTCTGCTTTCACCTCCCAAAGTGCTGGGATTACAGGTGTGAGCCACTTTGCCCGGCCCCATTACTTATTTACATGAGTTTTTTTTTTTAAACAATCATAGTTTCCAAAACTAGCAGTATTTGATGAGAAGTACATTTTCATATCTGCCTCTACATTCAGTGTGGTGTTATATGTTATTTTTGTTAAAGCAAAAGAAGAAAACCCAACCTCACATAGGGATGAAGTTGGGAAACAGGCATATTTCAAATGCCTCATTTGAATACTCTCCATTTATGGATAGTCTTGATACTGACAAGTAGTAACTGCTTAAATTTTCATGCTGTGCTACATTAAAGTCTATTGGCTTCTCTTGGCTTTTCAATAACTGCTCATCCATGAACAATTTTCTAACCTAATATTTGTGCTTTTGTGTCTGTCTCCGTCTTCTTTCACTTAACAGAATGTTTCAAGGTTAATCCGTGTTGTAGCTATATCAGAACTTCATCCTTTTTATGACTGAATAATAACAGTCCATTGTACCTTTATGTCACATTTTATTTCCTATTTATCCACCTCATCTACTTATGAGAAAATACTTGGGTTGTTTCTGTCTTTTGGCCAGTTGTGAATAATTGCTGTAATGAGCATTTGCATGTAAGCATTTTCAGTATTTTGGAGTAGACAGCTGGGAGCAGGACGGCTGAGTCACAGCAGCGTTCTGTGTTTAGATTTAGAAGAGCCATTGGACTGTTCCACATGGTTGTACCTTTTCTTTATTTTTTTGAGTTGGAGTCTCTGTCATCCAGGCTGGAGTACAGTGGCACACATGCTCATGGCCACCCCAGCATCCACCCTCTGAGCTTTGGCAGTCCTTCCGCTTCAGTCTTCCAAGTAGCCAGAACTGCAGGTGCACGCTTACCACGCACAGCTAATTTTTTTATTTTTTGTAGAGACGAAATCTCGCCGAGTTGCCTGGGCTGGTCTCGAACCCGTGGGCTCAAGCAATCCGCTAGCCTCGGCCTCCCAAAGTGCTGGGATTACAGGCTGAGCCACCAAACCCGGCCAGATTGTACCTTTTCATATTCCCTCCAGAAAAGCACAAGTCTTCCACTGTTCTCACGTCCTTGACAGCACTTATTATTTTCTGTTTTTGTTTTTTAATTAAAGCGATCCTATTTAGTGTGTAGTGGTATCTCATTGTGGTTTTGATTTGAGTTTCTCTAGTGACTAGTAGTTGAGCATTTGTCCTTATTAGCCATTTGTATAATTTCTTTGGAGAAATTTCTATTCAGATTCATTACTCATTTTTGAATTGGGTTGTTTGTCCTTTAGTTGTTAAGTTGTAGGAGTTATTTATATGCCCTAGGTATTAAGCCCTTATTAGATACATGAAAACATTTCCTCCCGTCCTATAAGTTGTCTTTTTCACTTTCTTGATAATGTTCTTTGCATAAAAATTTTAAATTTTAATGTAGCCAAATTTATCTACATTTTTCTTTTGTTTCTCATGCTTTTGTTGTAGTCAGACTCCATTATCAAATCCAAGGTCATAAGATTGTCAAAGATTTACCCCTATATTTTCTTCTAGGAGTTTTATGGATTTAGCTCTTATATTTAGGTCATATATTTCATTTTACACTGTCAGAAAACAACATTCTTTAATACCACTAATAATCTCATCAGGGAAGTTTTTAACAATTAGGAAGCTATGTCTGCTTCACAATGAGGGATACAAGTTTCTCAACATTATAATATTCACTTGAAACCTAAAATTTTATCATTGGCAACAGATACTGCCAGTTTTCCTTGAAGGGACATGTCTGTTTGTTTGTTTGTAAGTTGGAGTCTCACTCCGTCGCCCAGACTGGAGTACAGTGGCACACTCACAGCCACCCCAGCATTGACCTGCTGGGCTCCAGTGATCCTTCCGCTTTGGCCTTCCAAGTGGCTGGAACTGCAGGCACATGCTACCACTCCTGGCCAATTTTTAAAAATTTATTGTAGAGACAAGGTCTCACAAAGTTGCCCGGGCTGGTCTCGAACCCGTGGGCTCAGGCAATCCACGCACCTCAGCCTCCCACAGTGCTGGGATTACAGGATGAGCCACAAGCCTGGCCACATTCATTTATTTTTAATAAAATGTCTTCCAAATACCCAAGCCCAAATATACGTAATGTCATTCTTCAAATAAAAATGTTATTCTAAGCCGGGCTCGGTGGCTCAGCCTGTAATCCCGCGCCTTGGGAGGCTGAGGTGAGTGGATTGCCTGAGCCTGTGGG